CACCACGCGGTGTTGGGGGGTCAAGGGTTCAGCAAGAAAAAAAAAGGAAAAAAAAAAAAAAGAGTGGACCTCGAGGCCACACCAGAACACCACCAATCACCTGCTTCGTCTCAGAGCGGCTCCTCCCCCCGGGTCCACTCTGTCCTCCAGTTCTCTGCTGCTCACCTTGGCACCAGCAGCTCAAACTGGAACCAGCAGCACTAGAAGAACCGGCAGAACTGTTCGGAAACATTCTGAACAGCAACAGTGTGTGGAACCAGGAGCACCGTCTGGACCCGGTTCAATTCTTAGTCTGATCCAGTGACCGGGGCAGAAAAATCAAACGTACACAGACACCATTGAACTGATGTGGGATCAGAAATATTTTCCCATGTGATCCAGTCACATGATTCCCTGCTGCCAATCAGGTCGGCCTACAGAGAGTGAAAGAACATGTGCGTTATAAAGCTGTTGGACACCGGACACACTCTCCAACTGTGTGGTCAGCTTCTTACCAGTCTCACCTCCGTGGTGGAGGATACATGGACGGAGCAGACGCCTGCTGACTGGCTACAATGGCTGAGGAGGAGAGACCTGAGAGACAGAGAAGAAGAGATGTTCTTCAGGACACGTCTTGTTGTAGTGGGAGCGTCCAGCAGCTGGTCAGTTGTTTCTGCCTCTCTAAGACTAGACAGAAGTGGCCACTTGATCCATATCTGCCCGACAGTCCTTTGAGCTTCAGTCTGGAACTAAAATAACTAAGTTTCTCTATGGACTTTGGTCTGAGCTAAAATCATTATCAAGTAGTTACATTGAGGCCTGTTGGATGAGAGGTGAAAAAACCCACTCCGTCCAGTTGTCCTGTCCTGTGGACTCACCTGAGGCATAGGACAGGTCGTACTGTCCAGACAGCAGTGGGTAGCCCAGGTGATGATGGGAAGGAAGAATGCGCTGTGAGGGTGAAGATCGCGGCCGGTCTCCCTCCCTCTCCCTCTCGTGTGGCGTCTTGTCCTGTACTGACGGTGACTTGCTCTTGTACTGACTGGCGTGCTGCTGCAGCAGGTCCAGAGCTTTGGCCTCACTGGGGGGCTTCACTGTGGGACTGGACCTGGAGGCTTTCTCCCCCTCCTCCCCTGCTGTTGCCACTTTCCCTCCGTACGTGGAGAAGGAGTACCCAGCAGGCAGGTAGGATCCTGTCAGGACAAAAACACAGTCTTCAAACTGGACAAGTGAGTGTGTGATAAAAAAAAAAACAAAAAAAACATCGGTTCTTCACTCATGTTCCACCTCATGTCTAGAACTCCACAGTAGGTACTTTATTCACATTTCTTTCAATCTTGGCTGGTTCAGGTGTCTAGGTTCTACCTACTGTTCTTCTCTGACCTCTGACCACACTGAGGGTTCTACTCTTACCGGGGTAGTTCTGCATCATGACGGAGGGCATGCCTCTGTATCCGGGGTGACTGGGCTCGTAGCCCTGACTGTAGGCGTAAGGTCCATGCATGTAGGGCATGTAGCCCTGGTGCTGAGCAAGAGGTGAGGAGAACGACATGTGTGGGGGATGCGACCCCTCGGTGCTCGTCTGGAGGCAGCTGTGTCCTCCCCTCTGCTCCCTCCTTCACCTCCTCTTTGTGGAGGCTCTCCTTTACCCGGGGCCGCTCCTCCTTCACCTTCCTTTCCCGCTCCCTCTCCCTCTCCTCTTTCCACCGCTCCTCCTCCTGCGGCTTTGGGGCCTCGGGGTACTTGTTAGGGTAAACGTAGGGCCACAGGCGAGAGTCGGGCTCCTGAGGAGAAAACCAGAGTTCAGTCACATGACCTGGAGCAGTGAACTACGACGATCTGAGTGACACAGATTAGACAGAGATTAGAGATTAAACTTTTTGACGGGGGCGGGGTCAGGAGCAGACAGATAAAAGACATGTAAAAGTCATGCATAAAGGCTAAAATGTTTTTAGCCTTTTTTACACCAGTTAATGGGGAAATGTGGGCATTGCAGGGAAAAGGCAGAAATGTAATGATAATATAAAGTTTGAATATGAAAGTTTAAACAGGCCAAATGGCCCCCGGGCCGTAGATGCCCATGCCTGGGTTAGACAGAGATTAGACAGAGATTAGACAGAGATTAGACAGAGATTAGACAGAGATTAGAGATTAAACTTTTTGACGGGGGCGGGGTCAGGAGCAGACAGATAAAAGACATGTAAAAGTCATGCATAAAGGCTAAAATGTTTTTAGCCTTTTTTACACCAGTTAATGGGGAAATGTGGGCATTGCAGGGAGAAGGCAGAAATGTAATGATAATATAAAGTTTGAATATGAAAGTTTAAACAGGCCAAATGACCCCCGGGCCGTAGATGCCCATGCCTGGGTTAGACAGAGATTAGACAGAGATTAGACAGAGATTAGAGATTAAACTTTTTGACGGGGGCGGGGTCAGGAGCAGACAGATAAAAGACATGTAAAAGTCATGCATAAAGGCTAAAATGGTTTTAGCCTTTTTTACACCAGTTAATGGGGAAATGTGGGCATTGCGGGGAAAAGGCAGAAATGTAATGATAATATAAAGTTTGAATATGAAAGTTTAAACAGGCCAAATGGCCCCCGGGCCGTAGATGCCCATGCCTGGGTTAGACAGAGATTAGACAGAGATTAGACAGATTAGACGTTCAGTTTGTGTTTGCATTGACTGAGCTGAAACAGTGTGGTCTGTGTGTGCAGATTGGACTGAGGTGTTCTATACCTGTCTGTACCACATGGCGGACTCTACACCTGTAGGCCTTCCAGACTCCACTCCTGGTTTGGCCTCCTCTTTCCCATGATGCCCTGCTTCACTCAGCTTCATCTTCAGACCCTCAGATTGGATGACCTGACCTTTAGGCTCCTCCTTTGCCATGATGACAGACTTTGTCTGTTCAGAGGACGCTGCCAGTGGAGGTTCTTTGGATTTTCCCTGGTTTAGCGCCCCCTTGGAACCTAGGTCAGTAAGGCTGGGGGCCCGGGACAGGGTTGGGGGCAGCGATGCCTTCTGCTTCCACTCCTCTTTACCAGGACCTTCGCGCTCTTTGCTCTCGGTCTTCCTCTCCACCTGTCGCTGTCTTTCTTCGTACTGCTGTCGATAGGCGGGGTTAGAGGCCAGCAGGTGGGCGTGGTAGGCCTGGTCCGGGCTGTAGGAGTACGGCGGTACATAGTACTGGTTGTAGTACAGAGGCTGGGTGTACATGTTGGAGCGCTGCTGGATGACGGAGGGTTGCTGAGGCCCCGGCTCCACCTTCCTCTCCTCCTGAGGCTCAGTCTTCAGTTTGGTCTCCTCCCCCAGCTCCAGCTCCTCCTCCTTCTCCTTCTTGATCTTCACCTGGGCTACCTCGGTGTGAGGCGCTGCAGTCTGTGCCGCCCCAGGGCTGGGGTTAGTGTAGCTAGGGGAGTAGTAAGACTCGTAGTTGGAGTAGTACGGTGACTCCTTACTGGGGGGCTGCGGGGGGAACAGAGCCTTCTTGGCACCTTCACGAGGAACCTGATCAGGCTCCGTCTTCACCTTCACCCCCTCGGCCTTCCCCTCTCCGTCCTCTCCTGCGTCAGAGATGTCGGAGTAGGCCGGGCTGCTGGTTTTGATGGAAGCGCTGTCGGCTCCATTCTGGTTGAGGTGAAGCGGCGCCGGGGCGCCAGGTTCCAATCTGCTGGCCACACCGATGGACGGACTGGGCGCGTTGTCAGAGAAGCTGTAAACCTTGTCGGCCTCTGCCTTGATGCTGGCCAGGCGACTTTGGTGAGCTTCCGTGGAGCCATTGAGCATGGCGTCGGACGTATCGGAGTACGGACTTTTTCCCTCCTCTGGCCTCCCAGCCTTACACGAGGCCTTTGGACTGTCACACTCCTTGCCTCCCTCCCTCTTCTTTTTGTCCTTCTTCTTCTTGTCTTTGTTGAGGGAGGGGCTGGAGGCGGGGTCAACCAGGGGAGGGGGCTTGGGTTGGCTGTTCTTCAGCTGTGGGCTCTTAGGAATGGACTGTACCACAGAGCCCAGAGAGGGGGAGGAAGCCTGTAGGGCATAGGGTGAGGGCGCTCCGGGACCCACAGAGGCCACAGGGCGAACGGGCTTCAGGCCTTTTTGGGCCACTTTGTCGAGCTTTCCTCCACTCACCATTTTCTTGGCCTTCCTATCGTCCATACCATCATTACTGGCCTCATCAGTCAAACATGCGGCCTCCTCACCCCCGTCTGTCCCCTCTGGCTCCACCTCCCCTCCTTTCTTCTTCCCCTTTGACGTCATCTTCCCTGAGGAAGGGGAGGGAACGTCGAAGCCTCTTCCTTTTGGCGTCGTGGAGCGAGCAGGTGAGATGGCAGCACCATTACAGGAGGCAGGGTCGGGGTGGAGGGTGGGGTCATCCCCGTACTCACTGTCTCCATCCTGGTCCAATCGGATGTCACTTTCATTGTGGGCTCGGGCCTGGTGGTACTTCAGCCCATTGATGTGCTTGTATTTCTTGTTACAGTTGGGATGAGGGCAGTCAATGAGTACGGGGGAGGGGCAGGTGCGGTCCAGCTGTGGGGGAGGAAGGGGATCTGTTTTACCTCCCGGGAGGGAGGGTGCAGCACCAGTGGAGTTGGTTCTCATGCGTTTGGACGCCTTGGTGTCCTCAGAGCTGGACGTGGGCTCCATGTCGGAAGCAGGTTTGGTCTTCCTTTTGGCGGAGGAGGGACTGGCCTTGGCGTCCTCCACGCTGCCGCTGGTCTGACTCCCTCGTCTGCCTTTACTGTTGGCCGCGGCTCCTCTGGTCTTACTGCTGCCGCTGCCTTTGTTGTCTGAGGAGTTGCTGTTGTCATTGAGCGGCGTGTTACTGCTAGGACGCATCCTCTTCCCCCGACCACGGCCACTCCGTATCTCCACATCACTGGTGGGAGAATCGCAGAACCTGAGAACAGATTTGGAACACAGTTAGCACAGAACAAGTGTGTGACATAAGTGGACAAGAGGACAGGTCAAAGGTCAACCCTCGGTGTTCGTACCTTGGTGGGGCCCAGTCATGTCTGGTGCAGTCCAACAAGGTTCCCACGTAGGTCTTGTTTCTCCAGGTGACATTTACGACCAACATACCTACACAGACAGGACAACGAGACCATCAGACACCTGACCTCTGCAGACCACAGCAAAGGTGCTGGACTTCAGAAGAAGGTTCCTCCAGTTCTCCACGGTTAAATCATCTTACCATCCTCCGTCTCCTGCCACACTATTCCCTCCAGGTTGACGCTGGTGCCTGGCTCACAGGGTCCCAGACACTCTGGCTCTGTCGCCAGTGCTGCGTCCGCCGTGTTCACGGCTACTGAGCGTGTGCGAACCATGATCTGTTCGCTGGACGACGAAATGTCACTGTTGGTGACGGGGGTTAGGAGGTGAAGAGGAAGAGCAGCAGGGGTCGAGACCGGAGACTCCATCTGACAGAGGAAGACAGAAAAGGAGGACACAGTCATCATTGTCCTTATCCAGGCCTGGGCCCAGCGTGTTTGGACTAATGGGGAGGTCAAAGGTCATTCTGATGTTAAAGAGTCAGAGAAAACACTATGTCTAACACTGTGTCTAACTGACAGATTGACAGACTGTAGATGATTGACAGGCTGTAGATGAATCAAAGGAGGTTCAACAGGGTTCAAACATCAGGACCATCAGATCAGAGTACCAGGAACTACAGGTTCAGAGGTGGTATGTCAACACTACAGAGGAACAGAAGACATGAAGAAAACACACCCCCTGAGATGGAACAGAACAGAAACCTGACCAGTCCTGACAGACTATCACTTCCTGTCTGTAACCATGTGTTCTGGAAAGTGAACTACTTGTCATTGTGACACAACACACCACTGCACACAACCAAATGTGAGCTCTGCTTTTAACCCATCACCAAAGTCAGCAGGGGGCAGTGAGCGGGGACGGTGCCGTGCTCAGAGCAGCTCAGTGGTAACTGATAACTGTGGTCAACCCTACATTTGTCCAGGATTGAACCCTAACACAGTCTGATCTTACCTTCTCACCACTGACCGTCTTCTTCAGGTTCCGACATTCTCCTGCGTCCATCTCGTCCTGCTCTGTTGTCATAGCAGCAGTCTGTCCAATCCCTGCAGCGTCCAGTGCCATACTCCCCAGCTGCTCAGCTGCAACAAGTTCAGGGTTTTGCTGGGCCTCGAATGGGCCGCTCCGAGGGGACCCAAACGGCACACTGGGCCCCCCCGACTCTTTCTCAATGCCAAGCCCACCTGTGGCCGCGACCTCTATTTTGTCCTTCTTACTTTTCCCAGTTAGCCCGTCTTTGTCCTTTTTTATATTGGGGATGATACGGGTGGGTTTACTTGACTTGTCATTACCCTTCGGTGGGGTAGAGTTCGGGTTTTGGGCCGGTGGGTCTGCAGGGAGCCGCGCCGGAATCTCCTTTTTGGCTCCGTCTGAGACTGGGCCCTTAACACTGTCCTTAGAGTTCTTGCTGCGCTTGGATTTGGACTTGCTCTCTTTGCCTTGCATGGCAGTCACAGGACTAACAAACTTTATATTGTCAGGTAAAGCAGCCACGGCGCTGGGCGGTCCCCCCATGGCCCCTACATCCTTGCTGCTCGACATCTCTAGTTTATCCTTTTCCAGGTCGGCGTCCAAGTCAATGATCAGATTTCCAACACCGATATCCCACTCATCGCCGCTGTCATACGTGTCCACCGCGTTGGAGTCCACACCTTTCCCGCCTGCAGAGCCGCTGCTGAGGGACATCTTAGTATGAGCGTCCCGGAGCGTCCGAGGAGGGCTGCAGGAGGGCCGCGCTCCTCCCAGCAGCAGCACGGCTCCTCAGGGCTGGACCCTGCGCCACCGCCCTGATCCCCACATCGCCTCCTGCACAAAGGACAGAGAAGAGTGGTGGTTATTTTGAGAACGTTCTCCTGTATGATTAATACGGTACTTTGTGAAGTGGGATCAAAATGACATAAAAATATTAACGACAACGTGTTTCATTAAGGACAGTCCAGGTGACTTGCATCCCTGCCACCTCCTGGTGGAGTGGCTTGAGGAAAAGGAGGAGGAGGCTGTTGGTTACTTCTCCTCCAACTTCATTCACTTATCATATCAATGGTGCCGTGTGACCTTTCACCTCCTGTGACAATACATACAAATGGCAGCAGCCCTTTAGGTGAACGACGGGTGGCAGGGGGGTTAAGCCACCACGCTAACATCTCAACTGACTTAATGAAGGGAAATGTTTTGGAGGCTTTTGCTAATCAATAGACGACCAATAGACCATCGACAGATGATCTTCATGATGATCAGTGTTTACTGCAGTTACAGATTTGTAATTAAAAAAAAAAACTGATTCATGTTGTATTGTTACTGCCCTAGACAGAGCGATCACAGTGACATAAAGCTTTATCTATAATCTTCAAAAACGAAAGAGTTCTTATTATGGATGCGCCGAATATTCAGCCACCAAAAATCTTGTTTGTCAAAAGTAGAAGAGTCACCTTGATGGTTTGTCATGTGACTGGTATATTAGGATGTGTTTTCATTGTCATGAAGTCAATGTTTACACAAATGTCAAAAATTCTAAGTTTACTGGGACTATTAATAGGGGGGTTTCCTCTGAAGTCAAAGGAGGGCACTGGTGTGAGCAGAGAACAGACTGATGACATCAGCAGAGAACAGACTGATGACATCAGCAGACAGGCTCGCCTACATCCATCAGGACTAACATCACAGAGAACACTGCACTGTATTGATCTGCTGTGGGCCGCCCTGTGGGTCGGGCCACCGTGGGCCAAGTGCAGCGACTGTCCTCTCTGATACAGTGACAACAACAATTGACTGTCACTACACCGTTTATTTGAACAGGAAACTAATCACCATTGTGACATGACCACTTGAGGTCACTGCAAGTACATTTAGTGACTGATAACTCTAAACCAGGTCTAAAGTAAATCAGCAGGTTTACATTAAAAGCACAGACTGAGTGTTTTTTTACTGTTATTGGACAGACTGTGAATCTGGGTCAGAAGTGAATAACGGAAGACCAGAATCCTGACTACACCTGCTGCACCAACTCTGCCTGCGTCCATTCTATAGAGTCTGTGTCTGAGGCGGGGGTCACTCTGGGGTCATGGGAAGAAGCAAAAGCAGAAACAAACACTGCAGTCAACACTGAAATCTGGGCCATCCAGAATTACACACTAGTTTGGCCGCCGAAAATTTTCAGAAAGACTATTATCACCAAAACAACACGGCCGAAACAGGAAGTCATGATGACGCAGGCAAAAACCGCGGCTTGTCTGATAGCCGAATTCTCCTTTTAACTAGGCAAAACTGTGTTAGAGATATCTGCATTACATATCTAGCTTACCAACATGTCTGCGCTGGGGCCTTTTTTCAATATATCTGAGAATATGGATAGAGATTTTCAAAACATGTAATGCTGAAATTTCCACAGGGGGTGAAAAGTCCACTCAAAGTCTGTCAGCACACATCTGACTCAGAACTATTCTGATCCTTATAAAGATCATTACGCACAAGAAATGATCCAAACCACAAGAGTTCCTCAAATAATAATAGGTAGGCCATTCTGTTCTGACTTCCTGTGTGGCTAGCAGATGATTTTATTTCTCTGAAAGAAATAAATAAAGTGAACTACTTGTCATTGTGACACAGCACACCACAGCACACAACCAAATGTGACCTCTGCTTTTAACCCATCACTGAAGTGAACAGTGGGCAGATTTAAGCACCCGGGGAGCAGTGTGTGGGGATGGAGCCTTGCTCAGAGCACCTCAGTGGTAACTTAGCAGCTGGTGGACTCGAACCTGAAGCCTATCGGACCCGAATAAGCATCCTTAACCACTAAGCCACCACTTCCTTAACCACTATGCCAGACTTTTGCTAGACATTTGACAATTATAGTTTTTTATTTATTATTAATTTATTCAAAAAAATAAATCAAGGCACTGTGATTGAGGTTTAGTTCACAGTCATAGTCACAAATCTCCCATGTTTACATCCAGGCCAATCACACAGACAGTCTTCCACTGTCAACACCACAGACTTACAGAAACACTGAAGTCACTGAGGACTCAGTGGAGGAACTCAGTGAAGTGCAAGAGGAAATGATTCACTTGGGACTCAAAATGAGTTTCTCATACACATTTAGTCATATTTATATTCTATAAGAGACCCTGCCGTGTCTGTAATGTCTGTTAGACTGTTTCCACCTCACCTAGGTCCCTGGACTGAAGGAAGTTTGTGTAGTTCCACAGGGCCTAGCTGTTTGTACAATGAAGACAGGTGGCAGAGGGACATGTCCACCTGTCAATGTAAAAGGGAACGCCACTGTGTCCACACAGAAGTGAGAGTTTCAGGCTGCAGCAGCAGCAAGGTCCAAAGATCAGACGAAAACAAACACTCCAGTCTAAACAACAAAGAGTCTGGACATATATGACAGAACCCTCTGGACCTTCACTGCTGATAAATAGATAGAACTTTATTAATCCCTTGGGAGTTCCCTTTGGGAAATTAAGGACTGGGAGATCATGAAGGAGATTTACAGGACTCAGGAACACAGGATACAAAATCCCCACAGGTGGATGCTACAACTGGTTCCACAGTCAGGTATAGAACCACGTTGCCAGGTCCAATGAGAGCACATCAACATACCAACACATGGCACTACATTTAGGAGAGAGATGGAGACACCTGCGTGAAAATCATCCATGAACTCTGGCAGGTCATGTAATGGCAGTACTGGACTGGGAACAGAGGGGGACTAAGGACTCAGATTGGCTGGATCTATGGCAGACCATACAAATTGGACCAGTAACCTTTCTCATGGGAATTTTAATCATACAGATCATTACAGAAAGATGCAGGACTGAGGAGTTACGCAAACAGAAAGATAACATATGTAAATTAAGGGAATGTGCACTTAAAGTATATCCAAAAACTTGGTGAATAAGAAAAAGTTGTTTGTTGTTATTTTGCCTGAATTATTTGTATCTGTGCCAACGTTGTGACCTTCTCTAAAGATATCCCGACCTTTGATGCTGCTTCATTAGTGAAACAATAAAGGCATAAAATCGTGTCACAGCTGTAAAACAAGATATAGTGGATCATGAGAAAACTAAAAGCTTGAAGAGTGCTTCTGAAATAGTTCCTGTTCTTAGTAGGATTGTGAAGGACAACAGGAACTATGGGTAAGGAGCAGGAAATGAACAGCTTTCTGATTGGTTGGAAAACATTTTCTGCAAAATCTGAGGGTGGTCATTAACTTGTCCATGTCCTGGTCCTCTTAGGGTCCAGCCCAATATTTTTATCACTTGCCCAATTACACAATAACAATGATGGTGATGTTGAGTGAAAAAATGATTCTAATAAAAAATAATACTATTTTACTAATATTATAATACTAATGATAATAATACTATTATGAATAATACTATAATAATAATAATAATACTAACAGTACAGGTTTAAGTCACTTCTTGGTGGCTTTAAGATGCATTTACAGCGTTTACAATGTTTAAACGAATTAGTCCTATAAGTGGAGCAGGGATTGTAGTTGTCAAACCAAACACTCAAATAGATAATTTTTTTTTTCATTTAATGAGTTTTCAAAGCCTTCTACGTGATTAATCAGTAGTAAACACATAGAAGGCTTTTTACATTTGCTGTTATTAAATATATAACAACATGTTTCTAAGTCTGTCAGTGTTTTTACTAACATAACTAATAATAACTAACCACTAATGTCACTGCATTGGTTGTACGTGTGTTATTAATAAAGTACAGCAACAAACACCAGTATGTTTGTGTTGTTATTTTTCAGTTCAGCCACACAGTGGGCCCAGTTCAGGCTAGTTAGCGGTTTAGCTTCGTGTTCGGGAGAGGACCGCCCCTACACGGCCCTCTGCAAACAACAGCAACAGTTTGTATGACAATAAAGGACAACGGGGGAAATAAGTCTCGTTCACACATTTAAGGAATCCGATAAATAGGTGAAAATGGCACACTCGAACCCCCTGGGCGACCGCAAGCAAAACAAAACCCAGGATGAGATGGAGGAAGACGGATTAGTCCCGTTAGCATGACCGATGTGTGCTATTAAGCTATAGCGAAACTATTACACAACATGAATACTGAGAATTATATTGACTGGGTAATTGTGATCATACACGTTTCTATTGTTAAATAAACATTAAAAAAATGTCCATCGCACACGAAATATGTCTTATTCAAGCAGCTTAGCTCACAGGCCCACCGTGGCCCGCTAATAAGCTAACGGGATCCATTACCGGACGCCAAGCTGCTCCTTTCAACGTGACGCCGAAAGATATGCCTTTTCTTCTCACTCATTCAGCGATATGGGATAAAACATAAAAACAACAACGACATTTCCAGCCATGTACATCGCAGCCAAGCCTAACGTGACTCTGGGAGCACAGGTGCTTCATAGAGCCGTTGACCTGTAAGTCCTGCACTGTCGAGAGCTGGACAATCGCCGATGCAGCGCTTTCACAGGCTTGCTGTCAACGCGGTAGCTCCATCATCGGACAGTATTTTGGAATACGCTAACGTTGTTGTGCAAGCTTTCAGAGCTTTTCAAGCGTTTATATGCTACAACCTTTGGTATGAAAATCAAATGTTTTAAAATGTGTAAGACGATATTGAGCAGTTGTTTTGGAAACACTCGCAAAGCCCGTACAGGAGAAGCTTGACGGCATCCAAACATTACTTTTAAAGAACGTGGCCAACATAGGAGCGGAAATAACTTTTTACAACAATGAAACTTTGAATGAAATTAATACGGAGATTTAAATTAGCAAACGAATATAAACGACCAGGTCAGGCGGGGACGTGTCCGATGATGGACGCATGCCCCCTGGCTCTCCGGTCTCCGCAGACAAAGGCAGCAGCAGTTAGCCTGTAATGCTAACGCTAACATTCTTATCCCGCGCAGAGCTCAAATCCCACCAAGAGAACCGTTCTCATCGTGTCCACTTACCCCGGTTAGAATCCCAATGAAAGCAGTGTTCATGTACACTCCATATGTCACTGTATTTCCGGTAAAGACGTTGCAGAAAAGCGTCCCTGGGGCAAAACGGACAGAAGCAGAGTCAACGTGCTCACTAGCTTCACTGGAGCGCAGCCATCACACGCTCTCGGCTAGGAGTACAGCGGGAAACGACGACATTTTGGAGTGACTCCTCAAACTCTAGTACAAACAGCGCGTATCCCAGATAGTCCAAGAATAGTGAATGTCATTAGTCCTAGAGTTTAGAGACGTTAGCACTGCGTCTGTTTAGCACACAGACCCACGGACAGCCGCAGACGGACAAACAGCAGCGCTGCTCTGGGCCGTAATGGCTGTTCGAGTGAGAGCGAAAGCCCGGAGCGGTATATCCAGGTGGACCCGGATTTTCACGCCGGATACCAGTCACCGGACTGGATCTAGCTTCAGTGGAAGTGATTCAATCCACGTTCTCACCGCAGAAACGCATTGTAAAACGGTACAAATTGGAGAAATATTGGTCAAAAATTCTAAAAATAAAAAACGAAACAGAAGATAAACAGGGGCCTCAAACTTTTAAAAATGTTTTTGGTTAAAAGAAATACTGTTTGATACATTTTCCCTGACCGAAATGAATAAACTAATAAAACGACTCAAAAAAAAATCCTTAATGTTATTGGTACTGACATCTAGTTCTGGACTAGACGTCAGGGGTCATGTTCCCTTATTTTACTCTAGAGGGAGCCCAGGTACCACCATGATGTACAAACCATAAATTAGGAACTAGTGAAGACTATTCTGGTCAGAGATGAAGGTGTGACAGGAGGTGGAGGGGGGGGGGAGGCTCAACAACCCCCGAACCGCCCAGACCAGCATGCACTGGGGGCCTCCTGACACTAACACCAACACCAGCTCCATCATCTGTGTGTGTTTGCTGCCCCTCAGAGGTTCATAAGAGCAGCCCAGAAATTATTCATAGGAACCTGATCTGGTCCTAAAAAGATAAAGAGGGTTATGTCTCCATGGTGACTGCTCCCTCCAGGCCTGCAAACAAACAGCACACATCCTGTTGGACTGGAGTTGGAAAGATGCACCGGTCGTACCAGCCGCTAAAACCTGTCACCAACCGCTACCTGCAGCAGAGATGGGACCAGAACAACTACCAGAACCACTGCAGGAAGGTATGGGGGCAGATGGGTGGTACGGGGGGGGGGGCATGTTTCCTGCTTTTAAACTGAACCTGTAACTTTAACATAGGTTGTTGATCATCAATGATTTCTTAACAAGACGAAAGAGAAAGACTAAGACTAACTAAGACTAACTAAGACTAACCAGTGAAGGTTGATCTCTCTCTCCTGCTGTGTTGCTTCAGGTAAGCTCCGCCCTTCCTGTCGTTGACAACAGGGGCATTAGGACACCAGCCCATGTCCAACTCAAACTGAAAAGACTGCAGGTCAGTGGTCAAGAGCCTGGAGAGGGGTAAGGGGCGGGCGGTTAAATCAACTGCCTCTGACTGGTTATTACCTGTGAAAACAGCTGCAGGATGAGCGCCTGTCCATCATCGACAGAGACAACCGTCTCCTGTCCTCCAGACTGGCCAACATCGTTTCTTCACATGGTTTGGTGGACCATCGGAACCAGTATCACCTGAAGAGGTGAGCTGCTCTGTAGAGCATGGAAACACAAGAACATCGTCCATGATCTGTGTTGTCCACATGTCTTCGCTGGTCATGATAGTTATAATGAAGTTGATGTTACAGACCACATGGGGGCGACTCACTCACTCCATGACAATAATAAAGATTTTATAATAAAACCTTTCATTGGTTGTTGGGTTGTCTCGTCCCTTTTCTCCATTTTAGTCTCAATGCTGACAAGAGGCGGGCTGAGCTGGTACTGGTCCGTCGTCAGAATCAGGCCATCTACCAGCGGCTCCTGTCCCGACAGTCAGAGTATCGCCGCCAGACATGGTTGGACGACTGGCAGAAGGCGGAGCGTCGTCGTGAGAGCATTTCCCAGTATCCCCGGGGACTGGGAGACAAACAGGTGGGAGGGAGTAGCATTGTTGATGTGTCACCTCAGTGACACACACTGACCACACGAGGCAGTATTTGCTGCAGCCGTAGACCCTGCATGTATCTGAAGTAAAAATGTTGATTTTCTCTATGGAGTTTGGTGCAGCAGGAGAACAGACGTGTGTGTGTGTCTGTGTGTGTGTGCAGAAGTCAAACCGAAAGGTGAAGTTCTCCGCCGCGCCGGACAGTGAGTGGTCGGATGACACAGACGAGTCACAGAGACGGACGTGGAACACGCACACACACGGATGATCATGTGACCTGTCTGCAGAGATGCCCCTTCGTGTGGAGTCAGTAAAAAGAAAACAAAGAGAAAACGTCAAATATCTTCATGTTATTTGACACTGGTTTAAAGTCAAAACATGTTTTTATTTATGAATCTGTGTTTGATGTGAATCTTTTCTGAGATCATTTTTAAAGTTTATTTTTGTTTTTAATATATATACAGGTAAAGTAAGGCTCAACATATTTGCAAACATTATACACTGACACCGAGCCTATAATAATGTTATAATTATATCTGTTTATTTAACTCTCACTAAAATATGTCATGGCTGCACATATATATGGAGTTTTCCATTAATTGTCCGAAGGTAAAGGTTAATAAAGTTCTATTTATATTTAGATCCGAAAACACATAACGACCTTTGTTTTTTGTCCACAAGGGGGCAGCAGCTAACCGTATTTGTTTGTGAATGGTTCTCTGCGTGAAGTGGGGAACGGTCCTGACCTGGAGACTGCTGTGATTGGCTCCAGTTCCTCCACTGTCATCGTAAATGTTTCAGGATAGAACCGGGGACAAAACCGGAGACAAATGTGAGACAAAGTCAAAGACATTAGCTCTGTATTCAGCCGATTAGTGCTGAAGTGTTTGTCTTTGGTTAAAACAGTAGAAAAAAGTTGACGAGAAGCCAAGAGCGAACAAGTGAAGGACACACGTGAAAAATGTTACGACAATTTTAAAAAAACTAATGTCACGAATGACAATAAAATCCTCGAAATGGACAAAGAGAAAACAATCTAGTTAAAGAAAAGAAGCAAATTCAATAACATCAGTTATAACACGCACACACGCGCGCACACACGCACACACTGCTGTCACTGTGTTGACATCAACAAGTGGAAACTCAGAGTAAAACTGCTGGAGTTCAACTGAAGCAGACGTTCATCAGCCTGAGGGAGAGTCAGTGAACGCACCGCAGCCTCACCGTAACATCGGCTCGGTTTCTTCACCTACAGGCTAGAGAGGAGAACTGCATTCACGTCAAACAAAACTGCAGACCTGACCGGAGCGGACTGGGTTTGTTTGGTGTTTTTCCTCTGGTGAAGCTCAGACTGTGAACCGTTGGTTTCAGGTTCAGTTTCAGGAGGAGGGTGTTGATCAGAGAACTCTCTGTGGAGTTCAGCTCTGATGGTTTTTATGAAGCCAACATTTGTTCAGTCTCCAAGACCTGGTTTTCTGATCAACTACAGACAGAACCTGGAGTTCACTGTCTCCAAGAACAGAGTCCACTCCACCCTCTTTGCTACATCCTCTTTGCTACATCGTTCTGGAAAATCCCCTTTCACTCCACCCTCTCTACTCCACCCTCTCCAAAAAGCCAGCACTGTCCCTTTATCCAGTTCTCAGCTCAGTGCTGGAGCGACTCCTTAAAAAGGTGGTGCTGACCTCCACAGACACTGATGGAGGCATTTCCTGTTTTTGCCCCATCCAGACATTAAAGCCCCGTTCTGGAAAATGAAAAGGTGTGTGTGTGTGTAACACACACACAGAAGGCAAGAGGAGGTGTGTTAGTGCTCCTCCTCCTTCTCTCCTCCTCCCACTCCTGTCCTTCACATCAGAGCAGCAGAGTTCACCATAAAGTCTTTAACATCAACAATACACACACTCAGACACACTCAGACACCTGAGGACCATCTGAGGACCATCTACCTGTGGATTATTGTCATGGATTACACCTCCCTGCTGCTGCTGCTCCTCCTGCCAGGTGAGAGAAACCAACAGGTCCAGGTCTGACCTGATTAACTGTCTCTGAAGACACAGGTAGACATGGAGGCTCCATGGAGACAAAAATCATTGTTATTCTAATATAGAGCTAATATACAAACATTATTAAAAATATTATTGTAATTGTTGTTAATTTAGTCAACATCATCATCATCATGAGGAAGGTCTCCAACTCCGTGCACTGCTGTCAGCTCTGATAATCTGTGCACGTGTGTGCATGAGAGCATCTTCATTCCCAGAGAGGGTGTTACTGCCCCCTGTGGTTTCTGATATAAACACAAAACAAGGAACCAAAGAACCTACAAGTTAACCAAACCTGTTGGAACAGTTTTAACCTCTGGTCCACCACAGGTTAAAAATATCTGATCCTACTTTCAGATAATCGTCTCCAACACAAATGTTAATTTTCTCCCTGCACCAAAGTCCATAGAAAAAAAAATCCACATTTTTAGCCATTGTTATTTGCTGCCTTCTTAGTAAGGAGTTATTTTTAGACATTGTGTCAGTAACTCAAACTGGCCACAGGAGGCAGCAGTGGACAAGCATCTTAAGCATCTTGAGGATTGTCACTTTTTCTTTTTTGAAATGATTTTTTAAATTCTATTGTTGCTGCTGTTGGGTTTACAGTGACTCTGAGCTGTACTTCCTGTTTCCTGTTTTTGGGCTGAAGTGCAAACATCTGCCTGCCTGCTGCAGGAAGTGATATGACAAGTGATGAATGACATCACCAAATGAATCCCATCACTGAGCAGACCCCCACACCCCCACCCCTTGGTCTCTCTGGTTCTGGAGTGGAAATTAAAACAACATTCACATTTAGGTCGTCAGATTAAAATAATCTGGTGATAATCTAGGTGAAAATGACTTTTGACCATAATGTCATCATCATGGTGAGGTTGATGATGATGATGATGATGAAGATTAAGGTCCAGGCTGCCAACAGTTGTAATAAATCCAACTGCTGGCTGCATTAAACGGAGAGAAAACTGTTCCTGGCAGACAGGAACCAAACTCTGCTAGAAAGAAAATGGAAACATGCCATTATTTTTTAAATGTGTCTTTAATTTTTCATTAGCAAAAATGTTTCTTTACTAAGAGCTCACTCTCCTGCACCAAAGGCAATAGAACAATTTTAAATTCACTGATTTTCTTTACTCTGAACTAAAATCACTGAGGGTGGTGTCAGTTTCCAGAGTCTGTTCTATTTTTCCTTATCTCCACCCTCTGATCCATAAATGGTTCCATCTGTTAGCAGTCATTTTTGTGGTGCCTGATTTCTTGGCATGAGTTCTTACAGTGAAAAACACAGATTGTTCCTGGTACTGTTGGTGAAGCACATCACTCCAGTGTGTTCAGTGATGCGGGCAGTGGTGTGAGGTTCACTTTGGTGGATGATCCGACTCTGCGTCAGTGAATCCTGGAACTCTGAACCGTTAAAAAGTTCCTGATCACAGGCTGGACCACCAGGAGGGAAAATAAAACCTTCAGACAGTTCTGGTCCCACCTGAGCCAGAACATGACCAGAGTGAGGAGGAATGTTCCTCTTTCTCATCGATCATTTTGATCACGGGCTCACAGAATCAACAAGTCAACATTCCTAGGAATATGAAGACGGGAATCAGCGCTGAGCTTCATGCGAGGAATTCCTGGCCTGGAAAACAGAGCAGTAAAATATCAGTGAGCTCATGTGCATCACTTCTTCCATTCCTTCATCATCACCATCATCATCATCGTCGTCCCACTGCTGCTGCTGTGACCTCATCACTGTGACACCGAGTGTTGAGGTCACAGCAGCAGGAACATCCAGAGCCTGGAGGAAAGTGTTGAGTTCCAAACAGTGAATCAGAGGAACCGAAATTAAATCCATCACTATTTTATTCAGAAAGTACAGGTGAGCCACCACACGGGGATAAATATAGAGGAGGGTCAGATCCACGGCTCAATCATCTAAAAGTTCATCTGGACCAGAGGCTGTTGCTTCACCGCTGCCTCGTGTGGTCACTTCCTGTCACTGACAATAATTCGAACCAAAGGTCTGGTGTGAACTGAGTGATGATGAATCCACGCGTCACATTAACCTCCATTTTTACTTTGGCACAAAATAACAGTTGAGTTTCCAAAGTGTCCGTCTTCAGACCAGATTAAGGATCAAAATGATCTGGACTTTGGTGAATCATCTCTCCTCCGTGACTGGCTCCTTCCAATGTTAAAAGATCAACCAGATGTTTCCACAGACTGTGAAGAGCACCTGTTGGTGACTCACTCTGCTTTGGACTTTGGTCTGAATCTGGATTCTAGATCCAAGGCGGGTCCTTTCAGGTCCAGCAGATCTCACATGTATTTTCTGTCAAAATCATTTTTCTCTCCATGACATCAGCTCCACCTCCATGATCCCCTTACTGCAGCAGTGGGTTCAGGTGTGGGTGGACACAGTGACCGCAGTGGAACCGACATCAGTCCACATGTGTGACTGTTGATCTTTTCTCCTCTTCCAGATCTTCACTGTTTCAACTTCAACTCAAAGACCTTCAAGATCTTCCGTGGATCCAAAGAAACACAATTTGGATACACGGTCCAGCAACATGAGGCCGCGGGACGACAGTGGTAAGGGTTCTATCCATCCACCCCCCCCCCTCCATAATGAAAGCTTTGATGTTTATTACCAAAGTGACAAAAATACCTCCACAGTCAGACTCTGTGATTTAACAAGATCCAAATACCTAAAATCACGTCTATGACTAGTAAAGTAGGAACACACACACACACATACACACACACACACACACACGGAGACAGCAGAGTGATGGTCCTCCCAGAGGGAGGCTGGGGAATAACAAACCACACAACATAGTTTCCAGTTCCAGACCTGAGCCTGAGGAGAACACTGTGACGGTGAGCACTCCATCAGGGGGCACACACACACACACACACACACACACACACACACACACACACGTGCAGACTCTCTGTCAGGTAAAATCACTGATTTTCTCTATGGACGTTGGTTTAATCATCATGGTCAGCAGTGTGTCCTACAGACACAGGTCCACGTCTGGAGGTCTTTGTGTGCGTCTAAGATCTCAGTACCTGCTCAGGGAACAGCAGCGTGACGGAGTGATGTCAGAGGATCGGGGCGGGTTCCTGTCTGCGGTGGCCGCTGCAGGCTGTGGGACGGGACCATGGGTCCGTCTGCTGTGTGGGATGTGGTTTTAACGGTGCTGCTCCTGTATTTGTTTGATGTGGACTGGAGGAGCATTAGCAGATGAAGGAGTCGCTGCTGTGAGCTGTGGTATGTCCTCTGGTATGTGACTCACTGCTGTTCCCAGAACAGCCGCAGAATTCCTCACCACATGTGGAGGCTGTTTACACTGACAACTGCTAATAGCTGCTCAGTGGGGCTGCAGGTCTCTGACCCTGAGCCCAGGTCAGAGACCTGCTGAATTCAAAGTGGAAGATCTTCAACCGCACCGGAGCCAATACCAAAGTCCACAGAGAAAATCAGTGATTCAGTCCATGAAGAGCTCCAGGGTAATGAAACCTCTCCTCCTCTCTTACCTGAGCCGGTGTATGTGTGTGATTTGGCAGGTTGCTGGTTGGAGCTCCGTTTGAATCCACAGGGCAGCAACAGACTGGCGATGTGTTCAGGTGTCCACTGGACAACAGAAATTCTGTGAACTGCAGCAGACTAAACCTGGGTGAGTGATGCCCTCGTCACATGACCTCCAACTTGTCACCTGAAAACAAAAATCTCAAATGTTAATAAGAAGACAACAAATCATTCATTTAAATAAAACATAAACCTTTTTTCTTCTAGTTATTATTAAAGTTTGCAGATTTATCACTAGATTAAAAAAGTTTTCTCTTTTTCTTCCAGGAAAGCTTTCTCTGGACAACGTGTCCGAGAGGAAAGACAAGATGAGACTGGGAATGACGCTGACGTCCAATCCCAGGGACGGCAGCTTTGTGGTGAGTGACACCACCCCCACCTCTGGTCCTGTTGAACTGAAACCTCCTCGACTGTGATGTGTGGTCCTCATGTGTCCACTCTGTGAATGTGTCTTCAGACCTGTGGACCACTCTGGTCTCACGAGTGTGGAAGTTCCCTCTACAGCACCGGGATCTGCTCCAAAGTCAGTCGGAACTTCAGACTGTCCCACACCATCGCTCCAGCTCTGCAGCGTAAATCCATCCATCCATCCATCTGTCCGTCCATCCACCCATCCGTCCATCCATCCTCACCGTCTTCTGTGTCTTGTCTTCTCAGGGTGTGAGACCTTCATGGACATCGTGATTGTTCTGGATGGTTCTAATTCCATCTACCCCTGGTCTGAGGTCCAGGACTTCCTCATCAACATTCTACATAAGTTCTACATCGGCCCAGGTCAGACCCAGGTTGGTTCATCAGGCACAAGTCTCACATATGAGATGCTGACGTTTGTTTGAAGAGACAAGTTTAAACATTTCATTTTACTAATAAAAAGATCTAAGTTACATGTTTGACTCTGCCACTAGAGGCAGTAGTGAAGCAACCCCTAATTTATCTTTGATTTAAAACTGATGCAGGACATTGACATGTTCACAATATTGTAGGTCAGTTCACTACGTACCAGCAGGTGTCAGTATTAAGAACATCACCGACGAGACCCGCCCCTCTGGACCGGGACGTGAGTTCTGTTGTGTTTCTACTGCAGGTGGGAGTGATTCAGTACGGCTCCACGGTGGTCCACGAGTTCACACTGGGTGAGTACCAGACCGTGGAGGAGGTGGTGGAGGCCACCAGGAGCATCGACCAGCGTGGTGGAGAGGAGACAAGGACGGCACTGGGCATCAATGTGGCCAGGTACCAGCATTTGAGCAACTGTGAAGACTGGGTCATAGAACACCAGACGTCCAACTCCCCGTCTCTGACAAAACACTCTCCATTCTCCTACCTTGAAGGTCGGAGGCGTTCCAGCGAGGAGGTCGACCTGGAGCTAAGAAGGTGATGATCGTCATGACGGATGGAGAATCCCACGACAGTCCTCAGCTGGTCCAGGCTGTGGCCGACAGTGAGAGGGACAACATCACCCTGTACGCCATCGCGGTGAGTCTGTCCCGCCTGACCTGACCTGCCCCCTGTCCCTGGTTAGCCCCAGTCCTCCTTCCTGTCCTACCTCTGTTGTCTCTGGATCTCCTCCAGGTCCTGGGTTATTACAACCGTCGAGGAATCAACCCCGAAACCTTCCTCAAAGAAATCAAGTTCATCGCCAGCGACCCCGACGAGAAGCACTTCTTTAACGTGACGGACGAGTCGGCGCTGAAGGACATCGTTGACGCTCTGGGAGAGAGGATCTTCTCTCTGGAAGGTCGGCCCAACTCTCTGTGAAAATGAAATAGAAGAAAAAGCAGATCAGACAAAATGAGCAGGGCGCCACCTGTTGAACCAGACGAGTTTGTTGGTACTGGTACCAGCTGGTCTGAGTGTCCTGTGTCCGTCCATCGGTACAGTCCAGTGTGATCTGTTCTCTGTGTTTGACAGGAACCAGCAGTCAGGGCCGAGGCTTCGGACTTCAGATGGCTCAGGCTGGGTTCTCCTCTCACCTGGTTAAAGTAAGTCTGGTCCAAAACACGTACGGAACCAGAGACACAGAGAGATAACACACATAGAAGGAACAACAACAACACACACACCCACAGATGCCCCCCCCCGCTGTACTACGATACAGTCAAAGTACTGCAGTAAAAATAATTGAACAGATATTTTTGGAGCCACAAATTGAAAACACTGATGAGTGAAGACTGAGGACGTTCCTGGTTGACAGTCTGACTTCTTCTTCTATGGTTAACTGCTGCAGCTGGTCCAGATCAACACTATGAGGCGCTAACAGCAGTGTCAGTGTGTCAGCCCGGTACCACCTCCACCCTCAAACTGGAACTGTCTGGTTCTAGTTGTGGTTCTGGTCCTGACATTTGAAGAACAAGAATTATTTCTGTTGTTTTTTTTCCAGGGAAAAATCTAATTTGACTGGTTTCCAACGTCAGAGAGTGAAAATGGAAACACTGGTCTGCGTGTGTGTGTATTTGTAAAACAAAACAGATGTAACACACACATAGAGACACACACACACACACAGACACACACCAGTCAGTGTTGTCGAGGCCAAAGTATTTAAGTCTTTATCCAAATAAGACAAATAAAACTTGAAGCCAAATCTTCAGATTTTCCAGTTGAAGACGAGTCAGTGAGACCGAGTCAGTGAGACTCAGTCAGTGAGACTCAGTCAGTGAGACTCAGTCAGTGAGTCAGTGAGAGACCGAGTCAGTGAGACTCAGTCAGTGAGACTCAGTCAGTGAGACCGAGTCAGTGACTCTGTGAGATGGTCCTCCTCCTCTCCAGTGGTTCTGTTGAGGTACAGACTCGGTCCATGTTCCGTTCACATCCTGCAGGTGGGAATACTTTGCAGTTTTTCGCAGTAACTAAATAAACATATATAGAGAGGTGTGTGTTCTTCAGCGGGTCAATAAATCCCCAGTCCAGAATCCAGAATCCAGACGTCAGACTGGTTTCCTCAGGTAGAACCGGAGAAGATTCCAAACATTTCAGCCTGGATTCCTGACGATGGACCGACCTGGGAACGCTGCAGTTGGACGCTCAGCTGTAACTGAATCTGCATGATGAGAAAAACATTTTGTGGTTGGGCCCGGTATCAGACAGAACTGACTGCAGGACTGAGTCCAGACTCCAGAGTCCAGGACTGAGGAGGAGATTAGATGTGTTTGTTGTTCAAGAATCAAGACCAGGGGTGTCAAACATATGGCCCGCAGGCCAAAGACCGGCCCACAGCACATCTAACCAGGCTGTATGTGGGTCCTGAAACCACGTGTTTGACCCCCCTGTTCAAGTTCCCTTTTTTCTCCTTCTCTGGTCCGTTCTGCATCCTGTAATGTCAGAGTTTTAGGATTCCCACTGACCAATAAGATTCTGGATTCTGGATCTGAGCCTGGATTCTTTCTAGTTGGCCCTGGTACCCTGAATATTGAGTTCTTTTGACTCTAAATGGTTCAACATAAATTGGTGCTTCAACCGTTCCCACGTGTCCCTGTCTCTCCTCCAGGACGGAATTCTGCTCGGAGCCGTTGGAGCCTACGACTGGAACGGTGCCGTGCTGAAGGAGACCAAACAGGGGAAGGTGGTGCCTCCGAAGTCGTCCTACCAGGAGGAGTTTCCAGAGGAGCTGAAGAACCACGCAGCCTACCTGGGTGAATGGAACTTCAGGACTTCAGATCAGCTGTGATGTTGGCACTGGTCTGACTCTGGTTCTGTTCACGTTCTGGTTCTAGGCTACTCTGTGGGCTCACTCATTTCTTCTCGCGGTGCCCAGCTCTACGTAGCAGGAGCGCCACGATTCAACCACACCGGCAAGGTCATAGTCTTCACCCTGAAGAACACGGGGAACTTGACCATCCTGCAGTCACTGCTGGGAGAACAGGTCCGACACTGAACAACGTGACAGGAAGAACGGAGCGGTTCTATGGATCTATCTGAAACAAAAAATTTCACGTTGCTTTCTCGTCATCGTCTCTCGTAGATCGGCTCGTATTTTGGCAGTGAGTTGTTATCGATGGATGTAGACGTGGACGGACAGACCGACGTCCTCCTGGTGGCAGCACCCATGTATTACCATCAGGGCTGGGAGAGAGGGAAGGTTAACATCTACACCGTTACACCTCAGGTACTCAGCTGTCCTTCTGGTCCTCCTCTGATTGGCAGCTGGTCACATGGTTTTTAGTAACATTGTCATTGCTGTGTCTACTGTCGACTGCTTGTTTTTTTCTGCACCAATGCTAGGCAGTAACTAAACTTTTTTTGTACAGACTACGTTTATCCTGCAGGGGGTGCTGGTGGTAACTGAACGCTCTCTAAACTCACGCTTTGGTTCAGCCATGGCTCAAATCCCCGACATGAATGGAGACGGATTCAGGGAACTAGTAGTCGGAGCACCACTGGAGGATGACCACCAGGGGGCTATTTATGTTTTTCATGGCCAGGACAAAAGCATCCAACCACAGTATAAACAGGTACATGTTGATTGGCCGCTGCACACAACGGAAAAAGATGATTGGATGGGAAACAAACGGCGTAAAAAAAGAAAATCTGTGTCTTTTCTCGTGTAGCGTTTAGCTGCTGCAGGATTCTCCGCAGGGCTGCAGTACTTTGGACAAACTGTTCATGGCGTTCTGGACATCAACCAAGATGGGCTGGTGGACCTGGCAGTGGGCGCACTGGGAGCTGCCGTCATCATCTGGTTGGATAACCACTCTACATTACACATCTAGTTATCGTAACTGTAACGATGCTAAGGCTGTTAGCTGTGAATAGTTCTTAGGACATTTTCAAAGATCCACGGTTCCACCCACACCACTTCTGATGTCAACACCAAGAATCTTCTTTTTTGTAGAAAAAACAAAGACGTCTGTGTGCCGACTAGCTAAAAACACCATCAATATTTTTAACGATTCACAGATGGCTTATATTTAAAGACGCTTATATTTAAAGGCGCCATCAGTCTTGGACCAGAGCAGTAATCGGTTCCTGACAGACACCGACATGTGGGACGCAGCTCTGGGGTTAACGCTGTAGTCAGCTCTTTTCAAAGAGATAAATCTTCTGCTCCTCATCCTCTTCCTCCTGCTCCTCCTCCTCTTCTTTGTGCTCCTGCTTCCTCCAGGTCTCGTGGTGTGGTCCAGATTCAGGCTCAAATGACCTTCGAGCCCCAGAAGGTCAACATCTTCAACAAAGACTGTCGTCGAGGAGGGAAGGCGGTCACGTGCATGTCTGTGACGGTCTGTCTGAGTCTGGACTCCAGGACCAAGGCTGCGACCAAGACCAGGACAGATGTGGGTAAGACGGCTCTCTGTTCTCCTCAAGACTGGAACTGTTGGGTCTGAAGTGTAGACATCTGCAGTCCGGTCCAGGCAGGACCTGGATCAGGACTGAGAGAACGGTTCTGTTCATTAATGTGACAGTGATTCAGTGTTGGCAGATCTTCAACCAATCACTACAGACCCTGTAGACCTTCACTGAGCTGAGGGTTCTTTGAGGACCATCCAGTTCTGAATCTGAATCCTGGCCCTGTTGTTCTACATCATCAGTGTCAACTGGTACCGATCATTTACAGAAAAAGGATCAGGAACAGTACCAGAAAGAGTAGGAAGAAGAAAATAAAACAGATGATGAAGGGGTAATGAAGACCATGAAAGGAAGAAGAAGAAGATGATGATGAAGAGACAACCCTTCAGTTCAACCCAGAACCTCCTGAATCTATTTCCATGTCCATCTCAGAAACATCGGTGACATCACTGCTGCCTCCATCTCCACAGCCTTGGGTGGATGTTCCTGTTAGCAGTTTAGCAGCTAACTGATGGAGGTGATGGTTACCACAGGGTTAACATCCTGTCAGCGCGCCGCGACCTCAGAACACGGCCGCACCAGCAGTTGTTTTTTTCTATTGGATGTTGAGTTTGGAGAAGGTTGTCTGGTTGCTCCTCTCCTGACTGGGTGTCGTTGTGTAAGTGGCTCCAGATGTTTCCAGGATGGCAGCATGGAAACCCTCGCTAACGTGCTAACAGCAGCCAGACACTGTTATAAAGTGTCACTCCTCCTTCCTCCATCACTTCATACCTTCACCTCCTCCAACTCATCTGGACTGGATTACACCCAAAGACACACACACACACACACACAGTGTATCTGTGCTGACATCAAACAGGCTGCAGACACTGTGTTTCTGGACGGACTCAGGTTCTGCCTTCAGTCTCTTCATCAGTGCAGACGTGGCGTTCACCTCTCTGTGCACTGAGGAAATCTGACACTTCAGATCAACACATGACAGCAGTCGCAGAATCAATTGAATACAAGAAGGAGGAGAAGAAAGAGAGATGAACTCAAAAGGTCAACAGGACACACAACATATATATATATATATATACATATATATGAACATATATATATGTATATATATAAAACCTATGGTTTTTGTTACTGTTGACCTTATGACCTGTCATGTTATGTCATCACTCCTTCTGCTACAGAGTGGTAATAAATTATAGTATTGACCACAGTCTGGGCCTCTCTCAGGTTGCCTCTGGGCCACACGTGGTCCCCGGGCCCCTGTTTGAATAGACTTTTCAGTGAAGTTCTTCCTGCTCCCACAGCCATATGGTACAGCCTGACGCTGGACGGAAAACGTTTTCCTCCAAGAGCCATTTTGGACGACTCCGACAGACATCAGCCGAGGAACCTGGTCCTGCAGATCGGAGAACAGAGCTGCCAACGCCTTGGCTTTTCTGTGCAGGTGCAGTAAACACACGTGTGTCCCCCCCCCCCCACACACACACACTCACACTCACAGTTGCAGTGGCTGAAGTGTTTTCTGAACAGGAGACGACAGATTACGGACGACCTATCACAGTACTTTTGGAGACAGGGGGACAGGATCCAGACGAGGGTCCAATACTGGACCCAGACTCACCGAGAATCCTGAGGTCTGAGGTGAGAGCTCACACACAGACAATATCATGGTCAGAGTTAACAACCTCACTGAAGCACAACCAGGAACTCCACAGAAAAAAAATCATCTTTTTAAAATCACAGATGTGACCACAGGGGGCAGCGGTGGACCAGCAGCTCTCCATTGGTTTTCTTTATGGACTCAACGCTGGTCTTTTTCTTCTGCTCTAGCTTCCATTCTGGAACGGCTGTGAACAAGAAGATGTGTGCGTTCCAGACCTGGTCCTCAAGAGTCACACGGACCTCCTGAGTGTTCAGTCAGTAACATCTGACCTTCTGACCACTGACCGGTGGGCTCTTCTTCTCCTACTGAGGTACCATTGTTTATTTTCCATTTTCAGACAGTTCTGCAGCTCCAGAGATCTGGCAGTCTGGTCTCTCTGCCACCACCAGGGGGCGAGGGCAGACAGGACGTTTGTGGTGGAAGCCGGGCGAAAGCGCCTGGTGGTATTCACCCGATTAAAGAACGAGGGCGAGAATGCTTATGGAACTGTTCTCCACATCTCCATGTCCAGGAACCTGCTGTTCTCCAGCCTGGTCGTCAAGGTTACCACCGTTTGTTCTTCTGAAGTGAACCAAAACTCCTAAAGTCAACCAATACCTTCATTGGTAATGTTGAAGTTACTCATCAGACTCCTCCCCCTTTTCTCCACAGGACCAATCAGATGTTCAAATTGATTGCTTTGCCAATGACACGCTGGCCAATCAGACGTCCTGTTACATCAGCGCTCCATTTATGAGATCCATGTCTCAGGTACCAGGGTTCAGACACACAACATGACGTGGAGGTGGTGTACAAACTGTGGCTCCACCACTCAATGAGTGGCTGTAGAAACGGACGGAGACGAGTGTCAGGAGAAAAGCAGCAAAGGTCAAAGTTCAGGTTTATAAGACAGTAGTGAGACCTGCTATGATTGGTGGGAGATGGAGCTCTGTGACATGGGTGTAGTGATGGTTGGTGTAACAGAGGGAGAGAAATAAGGGTGAGGTGGAGGGAGATAGAGAAGATGATGATGAAGGTTTCTGTACTCTATCTGTGGGCATGATACCAGTAGGGGGCGTAATGCAACTCATAATAACCACATCTGTGGCTTTTGTGCGTCACTCATAACACGATGCAGCTGTAATCATGCAACAGGCCTTTAAAAGTGTGATTAGCACCACCTATAGGCCAGAGAGGGGGCACTACATGTCCAGAAAACAGTAGGTTGAAGGAGGCGACGTGCTCCAGCTTTAGGTCTGATCTGGTTGTGGTTCGACTCCAGTTTCAGCAGCAGGTGTCGGAGCATCGGTTCAACAGTGACGGCCGCAGTCACAGACACCGATGACTGAGCTCCCTCATTAGTCTAACGACCTGCATCAGCCCGTCACCCCGAGGGCCCCCGCCCCTCAGATGCCTCTCTGAACAAAGAGACTTTTACGAGTCCAGACTGTGGTGTAGATTAATGTGGGCTTCCTGTTCACCAGACTGTGGTGTGCTGCTGTGCCAAGGTGAGACGCAGCCTGAGGGCCAGAGTCAGAGTCTGAGGAAGATCTGAGACCACAAGAAAGGAACCGATGGACCCAGGAACCGTGTCAGTGGCATTTCAGGAAAAGGTTCTAGAGTTCAGTTGACAACCACGTCATCTCCTTGGTTCTTCAAAACAAAGGTCTTTAACAGGAGGAACTGTCACTGGTCCTTTAGTGGTCAGTCGAGGTACTGCAGGGGTCACTCGCACATACAGCAGCACATGTGCCCTGACGTTTGGTCAAAGCACCAGGATCGTTGCAGGAGTTCTGTTCAGACGTTAGGAACAAACGTGGATGAAGAAAAGAGTCTGAGATTCAAACCTTCATTTGTTCCAGGTCTCCTTCCGTCTGGAGTTTGAGTTCAGTCCCTCCGTCTTCCTGGACCACGCCCAGGTCATATTATCGGCCACCAGGTGAGGCGCTGGTGCATCTCTTAGGACTGACTCTGTATGATTTGAATGATTGACAGTCATGTGACAGTCATATGACTCCAGTTTGTCCATGTCTGTGTTCAATCCAGTGAGGGTCAGGAGGCATCCGTCCAGGACAACCACAACAACATCCTGCTTCCTCTTAAGTACCAGACAGACCTGCTGTTCACCAGGTATGTCACAAGACTCTGCCGTGAATCTCCACCAGGGGGCACTCACTGTCACTTCAACCTGGTGTTTGTCTGTTCTCATGACAGAGACCCCAACACTCCTCGCTTTGAACTCAAGGCGTCTTCATCGTTACCGGACCAGACCGATGACAGCTCGCTGACCTTCAACCTCACCTACTACGTGAGTCACTTCTGGTCCCCCTGCTGGATGGGCGAAGAATTACAACAGCTCAAAAGCTTTTTGACAATAATAACAAATCAATTGTGTTGTGACTGCACACACAGATCCAGAACCTGGGCGTGTTCTCAGTGAAGAACCTTCTGTTCAGAGCCGACCTCTGGGCCGTGACCCCACAGAACAACCAGCTGCTGAACATCACAGACTCCAGCATCCTGGCACAGGTGTGACGGATCGAGGGTTTCTAAGGAAAATTTAAATACCAACTTCAGTGTTTGGATTTAAGTAAGATTTAGGATTTAGGTTCATGAAGTTTGAACCTTTGAACCCAGTGAGAATCTGAGCGTTCAGTCAGGATTTAAAGAAGTCAAAGAAGAGAGAAGGGAGGGTTTCAGGATAACAACATCTGAGCGGCTGCTGTCGTCTCTTTTAATGACAAAAACACACCTGAA